CCCCCCCCCCGGTGGCCCTTTGGAGGGTGGAAACAGCCCATTTTCTGACTTCCGATGGGCCCGGTACGTCTGTTTTTTGCTCTTCCCAGGCTCCAAAGGCTTTCTAGGAGCCTGGGGAGGGTGAAAAATGGCCTAACATGCAAACCGGAAGTTTGGCAACAGACTTCCTGGTTGCCCATTAGGCCATTTTTCTCCCTCCTGAGGCTTCCGTTCCATTCCTGAACTTCCGGTTTGCACATTGGGAGGTTTTTCACCCTCCGGAGGCTTGAAGAGGCTTTCCTAAAGCGTCCGGAGGGCGAAAAACAGCCCAATGTGCAAATCGAAAGTCCGTTCCCAAACTTGATTTTCGTGCGTGCTGGAGCTGACAGGGCAAAGTCTCGTGTGTCCTCAGAAATGGCTCTGCATGCCACCTATGGCACGCGTGCTATAGCTTCGCCATCACAATGCTAGGATAAATCTTTGGGCTCCCCCAAAACCTGCTCGTAACCTCATGGTAGAGAGAATGTGCTGTTTAACCACAGCAAAACCTGCATTCCCAGAAGGTATTAACACTGGACCCTCTCCAACTTGGAAATGTCTTGAGGGAGTGAGGAACTTCCTTGATGCCCAGATTTGAGGGCGTATGGCAGGGGTGGGTTTCAAAAATTTCAGCAACGGGTTCTCTGCCTGGTTGCTGGGTGAGCGTGGCCCCGGTGGGCATGGCCTAGTCATCCTCCTACACCACACAGAGGCGCCTGTTTTCACCTTCCCCAGGCTCCAGAGACTTTCCTTGAGCCTCTGGAAGAGCGAAAACTGCCTCCCCTGGGCTCTGGAGGCGTTTCTGGCCTTCCAAAACTTCTGGAAGGTCCATTTTTCCACCTTCCCGAGCCTCCGCGCAAGCCATGCACTTACCTTGCATCCAAAACTGGCCACATCAAGACTCATGGGAGGGGAGGGGTGGGCATGGCCAGCCAGGGGTGAGATTTGGAGGTTCTCTGAACCAGCCATAACATTAGCTATGGGTTCTCCCGAACTCCTGGCATATGGGAGCTATAGTTTATCCCAGAGGGAGGATTGCAGAATCAGGAAGGCTGGTACATAAGTTATATGCTGATTCATCACCCTTCTTTCTTTCCTTTCAGATGTTTCAAGCCCGGGAGATGCAGAAGAAGCAATCGACGGTGGAGCTGACATCTCACAACAATAGGAATTCGCTCCTGAGGCGTTCCAGCTACGCCTTTTCCCACAAGGAAGGATATGCCCACCTCATCGCTAAGGGAGCCAGTCTGCGGAGCAAGACTGTCCCTGTCCGCAAACAACTGAATGGCTTGTACAGCACCAACAGCCCTGGAAAAGACAACTCACTGCCAACAGAGATCAACGCTGCCCCTAAAGAAGATTCTTTAGAGCAGAAGGTCCAGCTCGGTTGAAGGAGACAAAGCCAATTGCAGATTACAGGAGGGGCCATCGCTGGGCCTGTATTCTCTGTCCTGCACATTGTGCCTGAATGCCACAATGTCTTCCTGAAACTGAGGATTGCACTGGGCAGAAGCTTTCCATGGACAGCGTCTGTTTGTCATTCATGAAGTTCTGAGTTCGAACCTGATTCAGACTTCATTGATCAGATCTTCTCATTCTTTTTTTTTCCTGCCATATTCTATTCTGTGCAATATTCTTGTGAGTGATAATAACCCACCTTGACTAGGTTACATGGAGATGGTGGGCAGTCACTGGGTACCAGTACTGGCCCATTGCCAACCTAACAAAACAGTGTTTGTTCTGGTTTTGAATCTGGAAAGCTTTGGAGATCTCAGCCGGAAGTTCTCGTCTCTAGGCAACCTTAAAAGCCTCTGAACTGGGCACAACACTTCCTGGTAAAGGAGAAAATCTTTGCTTGCAGAAAGCCGCCATCTCAGGCAGGAGGTCCTCCAAATTCAAGGGTGGGATTCAGCCGGTTCGATAAGTTTTTAAGCTTAAAATGGGCGGTTTTTGAACGCTGTGTGCGCGTGTGAAACACACATTAGGTGCCCCCGCATGCAACTGTTAAACTGTTAAACCAGTTGCATCCCACCACTGTGCAAATTCTGGTTGTGGAAAGGGCAGATTGTGAATGCCAGAAGGAAGGCATGCCATAGGCGTTGCCCTGTTAGCTGGTCAGCTGCATGCTGGCCAGCTGATTTTCAGCCTTGATTTTCACCTGTTTTTTGCCCTCTGGAGGGAGAAAAACGGCTCAACTGACAACCCGGAAGTCTGGTCCCAAACTTCTGGTTTGCGTGTTGGGTTGTTTTTCGCCCTGCCCAGGCTCCTAGAAGGCCTCCGGAGCCTATGGAGGGAAAAAAACAGACCTACTGGGCCCACCAGAAGTTGGAAGTTGGCCCGTTTACGACCTCCGGAGGACCTCCAAGGGGGTACGGGAGGCTATTTTCATCCTCCCCAGGCTCCAAGAAAGCCGGGCATGTGCAGGTCGCACGGTATGGGGCGGTATTAAATTATGGGAGTGGACATGCAACCACACGCGATTGCACACCCATGTGTGCTTTTGGCACCTGAGGCAAAAAAGGTTTGCCCTCACTGCTATAACATTAAGAGGTTTGGACTTCAACTCCCAGAATTCCTTGGTCCCTATGTCTTTCAAGGTGTTTCAGATATATGAGCCTAAGTGGTTAAGCTGGTTTGCAAAGCCAAGTCCAAACACCATTGTGCCAAAAAGAATGTTTTCTCTCCCGAATCAGAGAAAAAGGCAATGCCATCCAGCATACTCTTCATAATGGTTATCAATCAAAGGTCTCTGGAAAGTCCATAGATAAGTTACCATTGCAATAGCCTTCTTCTGTTTATTGTCCCACATGTCTGGTATTTAAGTTCCACTTCCTTAACTTGTGAAATGCCAATTAATACAATTTCAGAAAGTAAGAGAAGGGCAGCCAGGTCCGACAAAATTACTACCTAATTTGGAACAAACATGCAAAGAGCCAGATGGGAGATCTGTGGAAGTTCCCCAACAATTAATCCACGTGCCAACTGCCTATTGCAAGGAATCTAAACATAAGACTTTCTTCTGTTTACGGATAGTTTCTACTGAGCTATCATGGCTTTAGAGACAGGGGAAGACAATCAGAGTAATATGATGGCATAATTTTCACTCTGCTTTTTAAGATTTATTTTAAAAAGTAGGGCTTTATCTATCTTTTCTGGCTGTGAGAAAGGTGAACAAGATGTGTTTACATATTTCTTTTACAAATATAATAAACCTATTTTTTAAAAAACAACCCACTTTTAACATTGAATTTGTTTATAAAATCATTCCTCCCTCCCTCCCTCCCTCCCTTCCTTCCTTCCCTTGTTGCATAATAGATAAAGAACCAGCATCCTTTCAGAAGTTGCTGAATAACCACTTCAAACATCCTCAGCTGTCATAGTTTGTGGTTAAAGTTATTGGGAATTGTAATTCAATAATTTCTGAAAGGTTATTGGCAGGGGTGGGCTTCAAACATTTTAGCAAGGGGTTCTCTGCCCAGTTGCTGGGTGGGCATGGCCATGGTGGGTGTGCCCTAGTCAGCTTCCTGCACCACGGTGGGAGGGGGGCGTTTTTTTAAAAAAATAATCTTTATTGGTTATACATTTTTTTTAAGAATAAAACATACAAATACAAATACAACACCCCCCACCCCCGCGGTGACAGTCATTCACAGCCCAACTTTTTCCCCCCCTTCCTCATTGTTTAGTCTCTAAGCAGCATCTTCTTGTTACAAAGTTCAGGGATCTATTACAATACCCATGTTCACTTTTAGTTCCCATTGTTAACAACTGCTATTTAACTTTCCCCGTTTTAAGTCCCTGCTGTTCTTGTCGGCCACATATACCATAGGTTCCAGCTAAGATAATGTTCTGTTTCTCCTTTGTCCCTCAGCCAACCCGTCATTCTGTCCATTTCTGCACACTCATAAATCTTAAACATTACCTTA